GCCTCGGGCTCCCTGGCTCTGTTTATTCACTCTCGCATCTGTAGCACACTCGGCTCGGAAACGCCTCCCCCACACCTCATGTTAGCCGCGTTTACCCCTGCCCCCCCCACGGGCTCTCCATGCTGAAATGGCTGGGGATCAATGATTTTCGGTTAGGGCTGGAGCCAGGACCAGCGTACCAGCCAAGGCTGTCACAGCCGCCCTCCGCATGGACCCCTCCGCCCACCGGTCGCAGAGCCTGACGGGATCGTGACCTTCTCTCTTATCTGGACAGCTCCTGGCTGCACATTTTTTTGCTGCAGGGTGTTATTAACAACAGGGCAATGGAACAAAGGATGGGGAGATGGAAAAGCGCACCCGTGTGTGGCTCCCTCCGGGGCCCCTCGGAAGGGCAGGTCTGTCGCCCACCCGCATATGGCACGCCTGTCCCCACCAGGCCGTCGCTCCTACCCCTCCTTCGGGGGAGTTTGCCTTCTCCAGGAACCTGTCTGTATATAAATGGAAAGGAAAAGCAAGGCAACTCAATTTTGTATTCAGCCATCCTAAGACGTGACACAAGGCGATTAGACGCACAGTGCTGGTGATGACATTTTAAGAACATTGCTGCTCCTGTATCTGGAGGGTGTGTGCATTCAGCTCAGCGGAGAAGCTCAGGGCAGCAGTCAGGAATCAGGCAGAAGATGACCCGGGGGTGGGGCGGGAATTGCAAGCCTGCTGCCCACAGCCACAGCCCCCTAGCCTTGCATCCGAGCTTGCCAGCCCCGCTGTGCAGAATCCAGACACTTCCAGGTGAAGCCCTGCCTTCCAGAGACCTACCTCATGCTTGCTTGCTTCGTAGCTTGGAAGGAAGATCTGAACCCCAGGGTGTAAAGACCTTGAGAGAACACCCCGCCTTTCCTCTGGGTGGCTGCAGGCAGAGATTTCCCAGATGCTGCCTTGTCCTGGAGCTGAGGTGTAGAACAGTAATTCCCGCAAGGAGAAGCCGAGGTGAAGACGCGTGGACGGCCGCGGAGGAAGCACAGCAGCAGGATCTCACGCGCCCAAAGGATGCAGGCCAAGGAGCCACAGCAGGCGTGTGGCAGGTGGCGTCGCTGGGACACCTGCGGGCTCTGCCGAACCCGGAAATCATGGATCCCTGCTTGGCTTTTAGGTCCCAAATCTTAACACAAACATGTGGCAATGTGAACCTCAGAAAATTCCTGGGTTTTAAAACAAAAAAATTTTTTTCAGTTATACTGGCACAAAGTACTATCTGGAAGCATTCATTTTTCTTATTTTATTTAATTTGGTTTAGTTCATAAAAGAAGTACAACTACTTTTTCCCTCCAGTTTTGTTTAAGATAAAATCCCTCCTGGTTTACAAAAACATGACAAACCTATTTGAAAACAGAGATTTAAAATGGATACGTGTCACACTTCAGATGGAAAATGTCCCCCAAAGGTGTCATGTGTTCTCCAGAGGGGACTGGACAGTGGGTTGCCGCCCTTCCTGCTGGATTAGTCCTCCAGTGAGCTCTCAGCTGACTGCACTGAGGAGGCAGGGCCTGGGTGGAGGTGGAGACCTGGGAGGGGTGTTCCTGCTTGGCTCCTCTATTGTCTCTGCTTCCCGGCTGCCATGAGGTGAGCATTCTTCTCTCACCATGCCTCTCCAGTGCGCCATCTCTGTCTTGGAGCCAGCCAGCCTTGGACTGAACCCCCAAAACCATGCACTAAATTAAACGTCTTCTTTAAGTTGTGGGTTTTGGGTATTTTTTGTCCCAACAATGAGAAAGATGGCTTAATATGAAACATGGTATGACCTTAACTCTAATGGACCCAGCATGACTTGATCACTAAATGCAAAGTATTTATGAAAGAAGAAGGCAGAAGGAGCTGATGTGAAATTCCAGTAGGTGTTGTGTTGCGTTTCATCTATGCATCTCAACCTCTGACTATGCTTTCACAGCTCTGCAGAAAAGAGCAATGTTCTGTCCTCCGGCATCAGTGTCTCATCTCGGAAAGTCACGGGGCCAGAGAACCCCCAGGGCACCCCGAAGCCAGGCCACTCCCCAAATCCTCTCCCGGTCTCTGCTATGACAGACTCCACCCCTAGCGAGGGACCATCCTCAAGTACAGAAAGGCAGAAGTGTAAAGCAGAGAGGTGAGCACAATCGCCACCCCAATTCACATAGTGCTTGTTAAGGTCTAAATGAAGAGGCAGCTGGACCTGTGCTGCCTGGTGTGCATGGACCTGACCTACTTCTGAACCACGAAACAGGGCCACGCCATAGTGATGCTTCAGCTCGTGAATCTCACGGTATTTAAAATTCTTCCCGAATTGGTCACAAGTGTGAGAGGCATGGCTACCACCCATTAATAAGAGTCTCTGATTAGCCAACACCCATCAGTGATTTCTCTAGTGTTGCAGAATAAATACACAGCACAGCCTACCCCCAGAATGCTGAAGAAGATTCAGCTAGAACTTGGGTGAAACAGGGAAACACCATTCTTAGCATTATTCATCTACTTTTCCAGGGCCCTACAGACACACCAGAAAACAACACCAAAAAGGGCACATGGTCCAGGAAGTGGTGGTCACACGGGGCTGCAGGTGCTATAGACCAGTGACTCACCATGGATCACAAGGATGCAAGCTGGTTACAGAGGCCACAGAAGCCACAGTCAGCATGGTGCTGTCACCACCCATGGACACGGCCCCTAACCCAAGACACCTGCTCTTTTGACCAGCTTGGACCTGTGTGGAGTTCTGTGAAGTGTTGCGCTGATGTGTTTCAGTATGGAGGATAAAGACGTGTTACATAACCAGGCCCAGCCATTGAGGATGTTGGCTCAACTCCGCTTCATACAGAGAGGCAGGTGGGGGGTCCCCAAGTCACACAGCATCCACCACAGAGACAGAGGGGCCCCCGGCCTTCGGTGTCCACATCCGTGCCCTTCTCCTGCCCCTGGGCTGCCTGGGGTATGGAGATGACCCTGTCCTGAGCCCCAGAGAGGACAAAGACGCCCAGTGCTGCTGCGCTGACCTGAGCCCTGCAAGGGCAGGAGGAGCCACTGTGTGGACCAGGTGGTGTGTGGACTCCTGACCTGCAGACTCAAGGCAAGTTCAAACCTCCCCAGATGTGAGGCAGGGTCCCGGCCATCCCCACTGCAGGGACAGTGGTGGTTGTGCTCCACAATCATCCCAGCGCCAGCTCGCCCAACATGAGACCAGGTTCTGATTTGGAATGTGAGCAGAGGCACTGCAGGGAGGGACAGGGCAGGTCCCCACGCAGCCCTGCCACATCCTTTCCAGTGCTGCCCTGGAGTGCAGGCCATGTGGACGAGTGTCCAGGGAGTTGAAGTCAGAGGCGGATACTCAGACAGCACCACGCCTGGGAGGGAAGGATGCGCACTAAAATAAAGGCCAGAGAAGCCCAGGAAGTGGAGTTGAAAGGCATTGCTGAGTGGCCTGCAGGCGTCTTCACTGTATGTCTTCGCGGGTGTGTTCACGTATAGGTCCTCAAGGTGAGCAGCAGGACCAAAGCGGTCCTGGGATCCAGTGTGTGCACCCACAAGGCTGTGGCGCAGGTCTGTTCTGTGAGTATCCGGGAGTCCTCAGGGGAACGGTGGGTGGGTGGGTGCTGGAAAGTAGTGTGGGGTCCTCCCATAGCACCACCTGGAGAGCTTAGAAGGGCTCCCACGTGTGCCTAAGAACCGCAGCTTCCCTTACGGAAAAGCAATGGGGACACCTATGGTGCATTCGCCTACCGGGAAGGAAGTGAAAACACCAGTGCTTTAAAGCAGCTGGTCATCAGGCCGGGGATTCAGCTCAGCGGTTCGGTGGCCTGCCTTGCAAGCACAAGGACCCGATTTCAATCCCCGGTACCCAAAAAAAGAAATAAATAAATAAAAAGCTGTTCGTCTCGGGCTGGGGAATTTAGTTCAGTGAGTCCACCACCTGCCTTGCAAGTGCAAGGTTCTGAGTTCAATCCCCAGTACCAAAAAAAAAGCTGATCATCTCATGTAATCACTGTGGATGAATTTCTGTAATGTAGAAATGTAAAGGCTTACAAAATTACACTAGGCCAAATAAACTGACAACTCTGGATTGTCTTTTGAACACCATCCTTCCTCGATTTGTCCTTCTATTCCTTACCTACAAGATGTGTTAGGCGATTCTGCACCTGCTCTCAGTGGTCACCCCAACTTCTCAGAGCTCTCACAAAGCTGATTTCTTCTTGTACATTTCCCCAGTCTCATCCTTCCATCTCAGGACTCTCCCTAGAAAACTCTTCCCAGGATCCTGTTTTGCTCTTTTCTCTAAAAATTTTGACAGTAAAATTTTCAAGGCTGAGCAAATTCCCCAGAAAGATGCCCCAAGAGAGCTTATAGCAGGGGTGGAGGAGTGGTCTGTGTCCCTGCCCACCACTGTCCCCAGGAGCAGTCCCTACCCTGGCTCCCACTTGGGTAAGGAGCCAGGATCTCGCCTGCTGCAGTGGCCAGAGAAGGCTGGATTTGAAACATCCACTTGTGCTCTCTGGCCTGATCCATAGTTTGGGCTTTCATCGTGGCCAAAGGAAGGCCCACCCTGGCCTCCCCTGAACAACTCCCCAGCAAGGAGGCAAGGCTTGCAGAAGTGCAGGGCACCGTCTGGACCCTGGCACTGACACACAGGAGGGGTCCCAGGGTTGGCGGAGAAACTGTGAGCTGTGGGCCTCGCCTACATGGTGTGCACGGTGTGAAGGCTAATGTTCGCCCCATCCTCTGTTGTATCGATTGCCATCCAAATGGTCAAACTTGAGCGAGCCTTTCAAGGCATGGAATAATAGGCTGCTTGTATCCTGCAGGAAACTGGACCGTTCAGCCACAATTGGAGCCATTTTCCAGCAAAGTTGATGCATTTGTACCTGACTGAACAGAAATGAACCCCTTTCTCCACACAGACCCCGCACAGCCCACTCCCCTGCTGCACTCGAGTGTGTTTATGTCGATACACTATTCACACCTTGTTGCTATGCACTTACATACTGAAGCTGCTGCGCCCCGGCAACCAAGAGAAACCCAGTTATTTGTCATTTTCATCAGAATTACGTGGGAGAGGTGAATGTAACACAGGCTTCGGGTAAGTGTAGTCTCTCTCATTACTGAAATAAAGAGAAACATTGTCTTTGATTGGATTACTCAGGCTGCCGGGGAAAATCAGAGTCCCTCTAGAAGAAAGAGCCCAATCACATGGTGATTTTGTCATTGATTTAAACCCAGCTGTTGGGAAAACACATAAGCACGGATGTGTCTTTCCAAAGATGAGCCTACAGATGTTTGCAAAATATAGTTACATGTTGGAAGCAGTCTGGGCCCAAGAGTTTCCTGGGTCCATTTGATTTTAGCAACAAAGAGCCTTAAACCACAGTATGCTTGTTTAAAGGCCAAACTTCCTGGAGTTTACATTTCTATGACATAGGATGTAGTACTCTTTTAATTATAGTTTTTAAATAAAAGTAGTATGTAGCCCCAAATTAAAGGGAGCCATTGAGGAGAATGATGCTGTCCTCATGCTGCCTGTCTCCCAAACCCACACTCTGGACAGAGACGTGGTTCCTTGTCCTGGTTTGGCTTCCTTGCGATATCTGATTGCTCACCGGGACTCGGTCAGCACCATGGACAGCGACGGAGGCGTCCCGCAGGGCCCTGCTTCCTGCCCAGGCCCGCAGCAGGGAAAAGGTCCAAGTTCCTAGCTAAGAATCCCAAGACTCTGACTTCCCAGAGTTAATCAGCTGCTTATTACCCTAAAGACTTCTGCTTTCGTTAAAATTATAAGCTGATATACTGCATTCCTAACTGAAAAAAAAGTTGTAAATTTAAAATATATTTCATTTTAATCATGGCAAATATATAAAAATATTTTTCAGCCTGTAGCCTTGAGAATCTCTCTAGAAGCAATAAAACAATTGATGAACTTAGTAAAGAGTCTTTCTTAATATTAACTTAGTTGATACTGTGTTTCACAAGTATGTGTTATGCACAGGACGTAGCCATGTAGGCTAAATTTGCTTCCTTAAGAAAAGCCTCATATCTAATTGCTGATACTTATATGAAAACAGTGACCTGGTTTTTACTCTTCCTGTGAAAGGAACAGCAAAAATAATTTTAACAGGTTTATAAAAATTCAAAATTTTATAATTTATTTCAGATATAAAACCAGAATTTTAACTCATACTTTCATTGAGGAAACATTGATAAAATCCTACATATAGAATAGTTTAATATACACTAGACATCTCAAGCACTGATTAAATATGACCTTGTCATCTAAGAACTCTACTGCATGTAATGCAAAATACATATCAGAAGTGAAACAAAAAAGAAACAAGCATGGATTAAGTGTGTGAAATGTCCCACACACTGCTCTATGCACTCTCCATATGTATTTTCATAGACATTAGTATGGTCATTTCCACAGAGAGGGAAAGGAAATTTCCTCAAGGTTAAGTGTTTTTCTGGATCACTCAGCTGGTGAGTCATAGACACAGGGCTCAGACACGGGTCCTCCTGACTCCAAAGCCTGTGCACTTGTTTCCCGGCTGCTCCAGGAAAATAAGTGGACAATTGTGAAATGCAGGATGACCTCACACAACAGGCAGCGCTGCAGCCCGTGCACCTGGCTGGGCATTCGGCGGTGGGGCCAGGTGACCCTCATTTCTTGGGCTAACTCCTCTGGGCATCACGTGTGATGCACCCATGTTCACTATCTTGAGTTTTCTTGCCAAAGGAAGTAATTTGTGACAAAGATAACCCACAACAAATATGATCTTCTAGTCTTATATGTTTAGATTTTTGGTAACAATTCTACTTGTATTTCCCTACTAATCACACTGGCAAAATCCATCAAAGCGAGCATCCACTTCCAGGTGCACATACACAGATCCCTGATTGCAGGAACTTCCCAGGGCTCCTGAGTCACCCAGAGACAGCAGCTTTAATTTAAAATATGTTGTGGGTAACAGACCAAGTGGATAATCCACTTGTGGATAATTGAGAGTATATCTGTGCCCACATTTTAAGATCTAGGTATTTTATAGTAGTCCTATAACATAACATGTCATAAAATAACCTGTTCCCAATGCACTGGTATCCATTAAAATCAATAGGGTTTTGCAAGCCATGCATATGATAGATAGCATGAAATGTAATTAGTATTGGAAAATTGCTGTAAAATCTCAAGCTCTTTGTACCTAAATGACCAAGATGTTTTCCACTGGGGCTGCTTTCTTAGAGCAACCTAGTGAATAGATTCTGAAGGATTAAATAATAGGTGTCATGCTGGTTTTTTAAGCAAATGAAGCCTTTTATTTCTGTGCACCGGAACACAAAAATTTATCACTACAGGAAAACACTGCTGTGGATGGCACTCTGTGAATTGAGGTGCAAAGCAGGATTTAACAGCCCTTGGGCTGAAATTTTTGTATCCACTATCTGACCTGCTGGGAATAAATTATCTGAGGCTGACATCCCTTAGGCTAAGGTCTTATAATGGAAAACAACTCCAGAAAGCCTTAAATATGAAATAACACCACGTGGCACCATAATTCAGGGTCCCTGCTCTTAGCAGAGGTATTCCCAATATGGCACACACGGGATGAGGAGGATGATTGGAGAAAGAGACAGAGAGCATGAATTCACTCTTTCTTCTTTCTTTCTTTCTGTCATTCTTCCCTTATCTGTGCATTCCTGGGTCACACGAGCATTGTGCTGACTCTGGATGAATACACCCCTTTGATGGAAGATGCATGCTGAAAGGGAGAATTCTGAATTATGTTCTCTAAATTATCTAAGGCTTGGAGAGCAAGTATTGATTTTAAAAATGACTGAGCTAGACCTGCAGGCCGCCCCCCTTCCCTCTTCTCCCCTCCCTGCCTGGGCCCCAAAGCACAGCACTGGAGTCGGGAGCCGTGCAGCCACCACGAGACCCTGAGCAGGCATTGTTTCAAGAAAGCAGAAGGTCATCATCAACCACAGAGTCACCGGAGTGAGTACGTGCTAGCTAGAGACATTTTGTCTGCTCATGGGCTCCAGCTGCGTGAGCTACAAGGAGAATTAGAACAGTATTGGGCCGATGAATGCACTCTGGAGATAACTGTTACAGTGTTTATTTTGCCACCTCCTTTAAAAGAATGAGGAGTTTATCTGCACAGTTAAGTGCTCCGTGTGTGGACCCAGGCCCCTTTATGGAGCCAGACTGGGACCCGGAATCTGTTGGGGTAGCTGCTTCCCATGCTGTGGAAATGATTAGGCACAGCACACGCTGCACGGGGCGACTGTGGGTGCGGCTCGTGTGCAGCCGGCCTGGCCTTAACACTAAGACCGTGTCAGTGCCCGCGCAGGGTGGAAGTACTTACAGCAGCCGGTAGTGCAAGAATAGAGTGAAGGCAGCGCAGGTGCGCTGGGCTTTCATTCCCCACCCTCCTTCAGATGCGCTGCGTCTGGAAAGGGGCAGGGAGCCGGGCAGCGATGCTCACCCCCTCTCTCACGGCCGCATTTCCAGACAACGTCAGGGCCCTTTTCTTCATCCTTTCAAACAAAGTTTGAAAAACAGGTTTTCTTTTTAAAACAAGAATTGTGAAAGTCAGATAATTTTATTGAGAGATCTTCAAAAATACAAATAAAGAGATATGGCATGTTCGTGAATAGGAAGGCTCACTTTTAGAATACTGCATTCTTCCTCAGCTGATGTATTGACTCAGTCGTACCTCAGTGGGCATTCCTAAAAGACACTATGCCATCCTTACCTTTTTCCATTAAGTTTACTGGTACATTTAAAGCACACGATACACTTACATTAATCATTGGGATCTCGTACCCTCACACAACACATCTTGGTGGTGGTTTTTCCCCCATAGCCCTGCAGATCTTTAAATGAGCAAATATTCTCTTTGATCTAGGATGCGTTTAAGAGACGGGCCTGGCCACTGCACCGTCAGAGCAGAGCTTCTCAGTCTCACCCGCTGGGGTCGGACCAGAGAGTTCTCTGCTGTGTAACCACCTGAGCTCTGGAGCGAGGCCTCCAAACACCCTCGCCAAGCAGTGACAGCAGCCTCAACAACGGCCCCTAGGGAGCAAGGCGCTCCCAGCAGAAAAGCACTGATTAAGAAAAAATCACCCTTTAAAAATGCTCTTTAGGAAAACCCCTGAATGCCTTCCTGAGGGATAGCTTAGCCCTGGGCCAGGGACGACCCCTGACTGTGTTGGGCAGCGCAGCCACCGTGGCCCAAAGCGAGGACTGGAACCAGAACCAGAACCGAAACAGGGGGGGCACTGCCCACACATCATGGTCACAAACTCAAAATGGAATTTCCTGTTATTTATACTATTGGCACTGAAACTTGGGGTAAGGAAAGTTCTATGGACTCTCAAGTCCTCTTTTCTATGGTGATTTTTTTAAAAGGTCCAATTCCTCAGCTTGCCATGGCTCAAAATATTACCTGGAGTTGCCCTCACAGAAATGCCCCCATTTCTTTCTCCCTTGGCCTTGTGAAGGGTGCAGCTGAGTGATGGCACCAATTTCATTGCCAATTCCTCCTAGAAAAGGGCAGTTTTACCAGGTCAAGGTGAAATGTCACACTGAGGGAGAAAAACAAACCCAGTGTACCTCTAAGTCACTCTGCAAGCAGGAGCTATTACATTGCAGACAGGTCCGCAAGGGACCCAAGTCCAGGGCTGGCCCTATCCAGGGAATACAGCCGGTCAGTTTAACCACACGGGGAATTCACGACTCTGTCCCTTGCCAAAGTGACACAGAGTGGTTTGAGAGGCTGAGGTGAGGTGACATTTCAGGATATTATAAATCCATGCTACTTACTTAAAAGGAAAACTCAACTTGGATGACACTGTATGCACACTTTCCTTTTTCTGGCAAGTATGTTCCATCCCAGTACTTCCTGAGGGGCAGACACAAAGCAAAGTCATTCTATGAAAGAGAAGTTTGGGAGGAACTGGGTCAAATGAGATAAGACCAGCTGAGCTTTTCTTGGAGTCCATGATGCCCAGCCTCCACTGGGACCATCAGGGGCCTTTTCATGCCCGGGACATTTCAGGAACTAAGCTTTCCTCATGACACGGTTCTGGGAAATCTGGTGTAACCATGAGGGTGGACCCGGGCCCCTTTCCTCTGTGCCTCCTGGGCTTGGCTTTCAATTCATCCCTTCCAAAGGTGGTGGGTGAGGGCCTCAGGCCTGGCTGCAGACACAGATGGCCGGACTTGGTGGAGAGCGCAGGCACAGGCTGCAGGATGACCGCCGTGGCTCCTGTCTGGAGGTGACCCAGAGCCTCACAGCACGCAGGTGGAGCTGTGGGGAGGTGACCGGGTGGTGGGTTGGCACCGGTCAGTGGACCCCTCCACCATGGTGCTTAGCTGGGTGCAATGTTGGGAGGCAAGGCCTGGTGAGGAGGTGTGAGGCTGTGGGCATGGCCCGGGAGGGTCTCTCCTTCCTCTGCTTCCTGCTGTCACCATGAGCTGGCTCTCCTCCGCCCTGCCTTGGAGCCAGCCAACAATGGACAGAAACTTCTGCAAACTGTGAGCCCAGTAACCCTCTCCTCCTTGGAGTTGTGGACGTTGGGTATTTTGCCCCAGCAACAAGAAAGTAACCAAGAACCCAAGATTACCACCCGGTGGCCCAGGCTCGCCTCTGATCGCTTCAGACACTAATTCTGCGACCTGAAGTCGCTCACCAGGCCTCGCTGTGCCTCAGTTTCTGCCTTAGCCAAGGGGGTACACACACCCCTACTGCAGCTCTGCACACTGTACAGTCCCAGGCAGGAGCATGAGAGGGAGAAAGCCCTTAGCAAACTGTAATGCTGTAAAAATCCATTTAGCGTGCGTTGTGTAGTTAAACACTGGGGAGAATAGACAAGTGTTCTCACCAAGGAAGAAAAAAAGATAAGTGTGTTAAAATAAATTGATGCTCTTGATTTAGTCATTAGCTCAGTGGTTCCGCCACCTGCCTCACAAGTACAAGGACCTGAGTTCGATCCCCAGTACCAAAACAAACAAACAAAAAAATACAAAAGATCATGTTGTACATCACACATAAATACAATTTATATTTGTTGAATTAAAGTAAATAATATAAAATGAATTACTCTTGTTACCCTGGCTGCCTTGTGCTGTGTTATTCCTGCTCTGCCCTGCCTGCTTGTCATCCCTGCCTTGGAGTTGGCTGATTATGAACTGAAACCTCTACAAACTTAAGTAAAATATACCCCTTCACCTTAAAAAATTATACATATATTGGGCTAGGGATTTAGCTCAGCAGTTCAGTGGCCTGCCTGGCAAGCGCAAGGGCCCAAGTTCGATCCCCGGTACCAAAAA